CCGAGTCATCAGCACGCCCAGGGACACAGCCTCGGCTCTCCCTGGAAAAGCTTCCCTGAGAACAGGCGGAGTTTGGATCAGGCAGGCCTGCGGAGGAGTCACTGGCTGGGGGATTAAAGGGAATGTTTGCGGGGCACATCCCAAGGAAAGCAGGCAGTTGCATTAAGTGTATGAAATTTGGTCAAAAACACAGCCCTTGTGTCCCAGCTGGTCCTCAGAGACCAGGAGCACATCCAGAGACCTCAAAGACCAAGAAGACATCATCCCACCCTGGGAGCAGGGAGAGGAGAGTCACCCACCAAGTGTATCCAAAGGATTTCTAGCTTTTCTTCCTTCTCAAAAGGTGAAATTTCTGCACCCCTCATCTACAGCCCACCCGTATCCTCTTCCTCCCACACCACACACAGAATGATCTAGGGGGTGAACTGAGCAAGACAGTCATGTGTGGTAGCATGTACTTCATTAAGCTGATGTGCATTTTAATATTTAAATGACCCATAATCAGGCAAAAGTTACTTTCTGGACATAGTGTCCTTCAAAGTTTCAGTTACAGGACTTTTGTTTTGTTCTTCAGCACCAAACCAGGCCCATCCTGTCTGTGCTGTCCCTCCTCCTGCAGCCAGCTCAGCCTTCCCGACATCAGGCAGGAACAATTTCATCCCTAAAGATAATGTGGAATGCACAGGGGAAGACTCAGCCCTTCCCTGGCTCCTTGCTCATCATATCACAAGGGCATGCAGAGAGGAGGAGTGGGGGCATCAGGGTGGGCTCCACTCCTCTCCCTCTGCACAGCATGGGGGAGATTCCTTATGCAGGAATGTTAAGCTACTAAAGGCTTTGGGAGTTGAACCACTCTCCAAAAGAATAATATATATATATATATATATATAAAAAAAGCCCATTGGATGACTCAGTGCAGCCTGTGTTCCGCTGCCCTTCCGGGAAGGGAAGCCTGCTCCCGAAACAGAGCCCTGACTCACAGGGTTCTTGGAACCGAGAGGAGACTCATTCAACTTCTTCCCTAAGCGAGAAGTTCGCTCAAAACCAGGCACAGAGTTTCTCTGCCCACAGGAGCAGGAAGGATCCCGGGGTGCTGGGCCAGCCCTGTGCTGTTGGAAGGCACCCAGGGGAGCCTGGACTCGCTGAGCTCTACCAGCTGGGAGACAGGAACACCTCTGAACCGCCCCCCTGGAGATCCTCCTTCCTCACCCAACCTGCGGATCAGCTGAATCCCAGGCACAAGGCACAGCCGGACCTGGGAGCCCCTGCAGGAGCCCAGCACACCTTACCTCCACCCACATCCAGCTGTGGTCAGTCTCCAGCTCCTCAGGGACAAAAAAGGCTTCCACAGGCCAAGTCACACATCAGGGAAAGCAAATTCCATGCTGGCTGCCCCCCCAGCAGCCAGGGAAACTCTGAAGCACAGGCTTCCAGTGCGTAATCACGGCGCAAGCAACAAGCCAGGCTTTCTTCAAGCCCTTCTGATGCATCAACACATGAGATAGCCAAGGACTCATCTCTGGGAGTTCCCTCTTTGGTTACATAAACACCAACCTCAGCTTAACCCGTTCGTGCTGCAGCACAGGCCACATCCACCAGGAAAAATCCTCATTCCAGCACGACACCCTCACAGCAGCAGCCTGGAAATGCAGCTGCAGCACTTGAGGCTGCACTGCTGCCCCAGCACAGGAGTCCCTGAGCTGGTCTGTGCCTGCAGTCAGGCTGTGCTCACCTCCCAGAGCCCACCAGGGGTGAGCAGTGGGTTGTATGACAAGGTTTAATTTCTCATTGATTGCTTCTGACACTATCAATCTGCCATAAGCCCCTGCAGCAGGACCTCTGTGTGCACAGAGTGTGACCCACACACGTGCTGCCACTTCCCAGCGAGGTGTGGCTGCAGTTTCTTTCAGCAGTGACTCACCTGGCCCTACCTGGAGACAAACGTGTTGAAGTTACCTGCACACATTGCCAGGCCTGTGCTACTGGGGCTTGCAGTGTGACAACACAGTGACAGGAACTGCACACTCATGAAAAAATATTAACCAAAACAGCCTGTTCCACACAGAAAATGGCCACACAGGGCCTAGTCTGTCCAGCAACAGCTCCCAGGCAGGAAGGAGACACACACTGTACCTGCCTGGAGCCTCTGCACAGGTAACAACCCTTGAGCTCAGTGGGCAGCTCAGGCACAATCCCCAGGGCTGTTCCTATTCCTAGTCACAGAATAATTTGGGTTGGGAGGAACCTTAAAGGCTCTTCCACCCTCCTGCCATGGGTAAAGAGTCTTTTCACTACCCCAGGTTGTTCCAAGCCCTGTCCAACTTGGCCTGGAACATTTCCAGGGATGGGGCAGTCACAGCTTCTCTGGGTAACCTGTGCCAGAGCCTCCCCAGCCTCACAGGCAAGAATTTCTCCCAAATATCCCATCTAACCCTGCCCCCTGTCAGTGTAAAGCCATGCCCCCTTGTCCTGTCACTTGAGGCTCTTGTAAATAGTCTCTGTCCATCTTTCTTGTGGCCCGTTCAGGCACTGGAAGGGGCAGTTCTGTCACCCTGAAGGCTCTCTTCTCCATGCTGAACAACCCCAATTCTCTCATGGCAGAAGTGCTCCAGCCCTCTGATCAGGTTGGTGCCTCCTCTGGACTCGCTCCAACAGGTTGGTGTCCTTTCTGTGCTGAATCACAGCCCAGCTTGGTACCTCTGAGGCTTCCCCTGCCTCTCCCAAGCTCTGAAACATCCTGAGGGCCACAGCCCAGCTGAACTTTGCTTCTAAGGAGCACACTTGTGAGATCAATCCCTCAGCATGGACAGCACAGAGAAACAATCAAAGGATGCAGCACGAGCCCTCCAGCAACGGGGAAATATGTCCCGAATCCTGAGTGCTGCCAGCCCAGGGCTCCATGCCAGCAGGTGAGTGCTCCAGTGCTGTCCCTCGGGCCATGCCTCACCTGGGTGCCAGGTGCCTCACCTGGGTGCTAGGTGCCTCACCTGGGTGCCACTGTGTCCCTGCTGCCTCAGAGCAGCCATCTGTCCCACAGCACAGGGCACAGGGGCGGTGGCTCAGCCTCACCACATCAGGCAATGGCCTCTGCTCTGACTTCTCCAGCTCCCCCTGGATATGGGACTGCAGCCCGAGACCCCCAGCACACCTGCTCATACCAGCAGATGTTAAGCCTTTAAGCCATTAAGGCTCTAAACTAACAAAGAACTGAATCCCCAACTCTGGTGCAGCACATTCTAGGCAGGAGGGAGCAGCTGGATGGGCACAACCCTCAATCCCCCGTACAGGGGTGGAGATGATGTCCCATGAGGTCCCCCCAGCAGTGAGACACCCTCAGCACTGCACAGGCAGCAGGGCTCCCACAGGCCAGAGCAGAGAGGGACAGCACCTGGCTCTGGGGGTGGGAGGACCCCCAGCCCCTCAGGTGAGCTCCCACGGAGTCAGGGCAGGGTCTGTCCCTGCTCTGACACCTGCTGATGTTACTCACCTCACCCACAGGCACAGCCCTCACCTACTCACTGCTGAGGCACACCAGGCTCCTCCTCGGCACAGAGGTCCCAAAAGTCGAAATTCAAAGATTCCTGCCCAGACTGGAGGCAAACCCAGCCCCAATCACGGGCTGTGCTTCCTTCGGCTCACGGACGGACCTGCCTCCGTGCTGGCAGCACCGCCGCGGGGCTCAAACCCAGCCCCAGCCTGGAGAGCACCGAGCCGAGCGCGGCAGCCAAGCCCCCAAGCACCGGGGGCTGCCCCGGCCCGGTCCCGTCGAGGCCCGGTGGATGAACGGTACCACCGGCGCGTCTCCCCGCAGCGCCCGGTCCAGCGCACAGGGGGCCGGGATGGGGACGGGGACCGGGGCCATGTCCCGCCTGTTCCCCGCTTCTCCCCTCATCCCGCCCCATTCCCCCCGCGGCCCGGTTCCCCCGGCTCTTTCACCCCTCACTCACAGCCCCCGGCCCGGTTCCCGCTCTCTCGCCCCTCACTCCCGCTGTCCCGGTCCCCGCTCTGTCCCCCCTCACTCACCCATGGCCCCGGGCCCGGTTCCCGCTCTGTCCCCCCTCACTCACCCATGGCCCCGGGCCCGGCCCGGCCCGGTTCCCGCTCTGTCCCCCCTCACTCACCCATGGCCCCGGGCCCGGCCCGGCCCGGCCTCGCTCCGCTCCGGGGCCGCCTGGCACCGGAAGTGACGCGCCGCCACCGCCCCCCGCCGCCAGCCCGCCCCCTGCCGGCCGCCGCCGGAACGGGGAAACGGCGTTGCTGATTGGGCGACGGCGACAGCGCGGGCGGTGATTGGACGAGAGCCCGGGGGCTGGACCGGATTTTGCGGCGGCCTCTGATTGGTTAGAACGTGCAGCGGCGAAGGAAGCAAGCAGCGGACGCTGATTGGCTGTGGTGCGATAAAGCCATCGCTGATTGGCTCAGGCCTAGGCCAGGAGCCCGCAGGGTTGGTGAGCACGCGGGAGATTCGAACGCGCCGTGATTGGCCAAGGGGCGGGGCTTGTCGAGATGGCCCCGCCCACATAGCACACAGGCCCCGCCCACAGAGCCCCGCCCGGCGGAACCGGGACCCCCGAACCGGGACACCGGAACCGGGACCCCCGAACCGGGACACCCCGAACCGGGACACCCGAACCGGGACACCCGAACCGGGACACCAGAACCGGGACACCAGAACCGGGACCGCCGAACCGGGACACCAGAACTAGGACACCAGAACTGGGACACCCCGAACTGGGCACCAGAACTGGGACCCCAGAACTGGGACACCCCGAACTGGCACACCAGAACTGGGCACCAGAACTGGGACCCCCGAACCGGGATACCAGAACCGGGACACCCCGAACCGGGACACCCCGAACCGGGACCCCCGAACCGGGACACCGGAACCGGGACCACCGAACCGGGACCCCCGAACTGGGATGGCAGCTCAGGTCCTTTGGCCATTGGAGGAGGGACACGAGTAGCTGCCAATGGAACAGGAAATGAGCAGAGAGACCACAGAGCCTTTAAGTGGTGTTATTCACTACAAAAACCAGTCCTGCTCCTCTGCAGGTGCGGGGAACAGCAAGACCCTGGAGTCCCTGGGGGAAAACATTCCTTGGGGGATGTCGTGTGGGATGGAGGGAGCTGGCAGTCCATCAGAGGGGCACCTCCATGCCAGCCCAGTGCCGGGTCCATGCGGTGGGCAGCACCAGGTCCTCACTTGTGCTTGGCATGAGGGAACTCCCTGCGGCCCTTGTCGCGGCCCCCGAAGTAGCGCACCCTGTGGATGGCCTGCAGCTGCTCCTCGATGGTGGCACGGATGTCCACCTCGTCGGGGATGTGCACGTAGCGGATGTTCCTGCCGGTCACAAAGAGCTCGTCCAGCTGGGACACGGCGCCCTGCCTGTCCGTGAAGGTCACCTCGGCCAGGCGCACGTTCATGAAGGCGTCCACGCTGGTGACGCGCCCCGCGGCCGCGCTCTCGTCGCGCAGCTCCACGGTGGTGACGCGGCCGCGCAGGCCCTGCAGCAGAATCACCAGGCTGTTCTCGGCGATGGTGCGCTCCTTCAGCGAGTGGCTCACCTCCATGGCGGGACGGGGCTGGGGACACGGGCTGGGGACAGACACCCCCTGTGCCTCACACCGAGCAGTCCCTTCCCATGGGCCAAGCCCTGCACACAGAGCATCCCCTGCACACACACCTGAACATGGACCATCCCCTGAACACACACCTGAACATGGACCAAATCCTGCTCACATACCTGCACATGGACCAAATCCTGCTCACATACCTGAACATGGACCAAATCCTGCTCACATACCTGCCCATGGACCATCCCCTGCACACACACCTGAACATGGACCAAATCCTGCTCACATACCTGCCCATGGACCACATCCTGCATACACACCTGCACATGGACCAGCCCCTGAACACACACCTGAATATGGACCAAATCCTCATACACACCTGCACATACACCTGGTCATGGACCAAATCCTGCTCACACATCCAGACATGGAATAACCCCTGCACACACACCTGCACATGGACCAAATCCTGCTCACATACCTGCCCATGGACCAAATCCTGCATACACACCTGCACATGGACCAAATCCTGCTCACATACCTGCCCACGGACCAACCCTTGCACACACACACTGCCCATGGACGCACACCTGCACGCTGTACCAACCCCCAAACGCCCCCCTGCACGCACACGCATCGCCCCTTGCACTCCCACCTGCACACACGGCCCTTGCACACTCACACACGGCCCTTGCACACTCACCTGCTCTCACACACACCACCCCCGCACGCCGCCCCTCTCCCCAGGCCCCCCATTCTCCTCGCCACTCACGCTGGGGCGCTCCGTGTCCCCCTCGCCCTCTCCGTGCCCTCAGCCCCTCCCCACCCGCTGTCCCGGTCCCCGGTCCCGTTCCCGGTCCCGCTGTCCCGGTCCCGTCCCCGGTCCCGGTCCCGCTGTCCCGGTCCCGTCCCCGTTCCCGGTCCCGCTGTCCCGGTCTCCCCCCCCCGCGCACTCACGCGCCGCCGCCTTCCCGCGCGCTCCCGCGCGGCCCCGCCCCTCGCGCACGCGCGGCCCCGCCCCTCGTCCCTCCCGGAAGCGGCGGAGCGACTCCGCCCGGTGTCACCGCGTCCCCGGTGTCCCCATGTCCCAATATCCCGTGTTCCGCTGTCCGCGCGTCCCGGTCTCCCCATGTTCCGGTGTCCCCCTGTCCCAATGTCCCTATGTCCCGGTGTCCGCCTGTCCCAGTGTCCCGCTGTCCCCAAGTCCCGGTGTCCCCATGTCTCAGTGTCTGCATGTCCCGCTGTCCCTATGCCCCGTTGTCCCCATGTCCCGTTGTCCGCATGTCCCGGTGTCCCCGTATCCTCATGTCGCGCTGTCCGTGTGTCCCGGTGTCTGCCTGTCCCACTGTCCGTGTGTCCCAATGTCCGTGTGTCCCAATGTCCGCGTGTCCCGGTGTCCTCATGTCGCGCTGTCCACATGTCCCGGTGTCCGCTTGTCCCGGTGTTCCCGTGTCCCGGTGTCCCCGTGTCCCGCTCAGAGCCCGTCCATCAGTGCCAGCAGATCCTCGCCCTTCTCGGCGCTGTCCGGGCGCGGCTCCGCTACGTCCAGCTCGCCCAGGATGCGGGACAGCTCCGCCCGCCGCCCCGGTTCCTGCGGGACAGACACCGCGCTCAGCCCCGCCGTGCCCCCGCCCCGGTTCCTGCGGGACAGACACCGCGCTCAGCCCCGCCGTGCCCCCGCCCCGCTACCGCGGCCGGGACTGAGCCGGGCTGGACTGGGACGTGCCCTTTTTACACCCAAATCGGCTAAAAACCTGCTCTGGTGTTTGTAAGGGTCAAGGTTTTTTAGTAAATATCCAACAATTCCACTGTCTTGACAGAAAATTGGCAATCACCTAGTTAAGAGCTTAAGTGAAATGGGAAAAAATGTATTTTTAAGTCACTACTCTGGGTGAAACACGCTCCTTAGCAAGGCAGGGACGGTGAGAACCAGTGATGTGAAACGTGTTACGTACCTGCGTGGCTTCAATGTTGATAACCTTGTAGGACAACTCCTCTGGTCTGGTCTGTGCAGCGTGTCTTGATTAAAAACATGGAAACAGTGGTTAATCCCATGAAGACGTATGAGGAAACAATAAAATGAGGCTCCTGTAGGCACAAATGATGCTCAGAGGATGCTCACAGAACAAGACTGGATGGGGCTTGAAGCAGCCTGGTCTATTGAAAGGTGTCCCTTCCCAGGGCAGAGTAGAATTAGAGGACCCTTAAGTTTCCTTCCAACCCAAACCATTCTGGAATTCCATGAAGTTTGGCAATGCCTCTGTTCCTACTGGGCAAATTAATGTATTCACCCCAGTTTGGAGGCTTCTCCCTGTCCTAGATATTTTTGTTAAGTGTAGAAGAGCAGGAACATTTCTGCAGCAGAAACAAGCAGATAGAAACAACTTGCTAAAATGGCTGAGGGAATATTTCTGTCCAGTGGCACTGGGAGAAAAGCTGCATCGCAGGGAAACATCCTGGAGCAGGACAACAACGTGCTGCTCTGACCCTAAAGCTCTTGAGGGCCAGCTTTGGTCTCCAGGGCTCCCCAAACCCAAACCCAAACCCAGAAGGACTCCAGCATACTCTTCCTCCTCGTCAGTTGTGAACAAGTTCAGCCGAAATCCCGACTCGCCACCAGCAGGTTTCTGGATGTCCAAACCTCCCAGCAGCCGGGCCAAAAAGTTCAGCTCTTCTTTAGCAAGAGGGTTGGGGGCTATGTTCTCCTGCAGGAAACAGCAATGGGCTCGTTGGGCAATTATTGGGAGATTGGGGCTGCATGGAGCTTTGATATTCCATGTATGTCCTTCATATATTCCTGATATTCCATATGTCTCCTTCAGAGGGATATAAACACATTTATTTCCCTGTTATTCCCGGGACAGGTTGTGCAGATAACCACACTAATCACCAGCTCGATACTGGAAATGGTTGCTTGAATTTATAGACTCGGCACAAGATACTTTTCCAGCTAAACTGGGCAGATGAGAAATCTGGCAAGCCAACTTTCTGTTTTCTGAGGAGATTAAAACAGAAGCAAGCACAGCCTTGCACGAACGTGTGGATTCTTTGGGAAAATGTGCCCTGGGTTCAAAGGACTGGGGAGGATTGGATGAGGCTCTGAGAACAACAGAAAAGCTTCCCTGAACTTATCCCAAACCTGCGGACTCAGAATTTGGGCAGTTTCAGCAGTGACAGGAAGAGGACAACACTGACCTTTGCCTGGGATGACAGGTTTTTGGATGATCCAGACATGTGTGTCTCCACTGGCCGGGTCACGCTGTACCTGGAGGGAAAACACACCTGGGGAAGAACAGCTTGTTCTGGGACCAGGTACAGCAACCAGAGGGAGCAGCAGAGCATGCAGAATTTTAGGATATTTTCCTGAAGACTGAACAATTGCAATGGGAAGTTACAGCTCAGTGTGGTGCAATGCTGAGGCAGTAAGGTGTGTGAGGGACAAAGCTGTGAGAAAGAGCAGAGATCTCTTTGGATGGAAAATGCACATTAAGGCAAACATGGAGAACAGAGAGGATTTCTTGACTGTGACATTAAATCACATTCCACATGAGATGCAGCACCAGGTGAGAACACTCTTTCCTCAGCTCCACTGTGGACAGAAATCAAAATTTCGATGTTTTTTGCAGCTCTTTATACACTGTCCACACATGTCCTGGTGCAAGACAGCACCTTGTAACAAAGTCAATCTGCTAATTAATAGCAAAAAAGCCAAAACCACACCAGGCTGAAGATGTGCTTCTGAACAATCCATCAGCATTTGGGTCAGGTTTCTACACAGAACAAAAATTACTTACATATTTGTTCCAAGTTTGAGGACTCTGTCTCCATAAAGCTCAAAAGATCCTTCCCTCTGCGGAGTAACGTAATTCCCAGCAGTGGTGAACTCAGCCCTTTTAACTTCCACTCCTTTGTGATTGAATAGCCTTAAAAATGAGATGATATTAGAACATTTAGTAGTTTCAATCCTGATTTTAGTACCTAATTCCTCTGCTTTCTGCACGATGGGAGTAAAACACTATTCTGTATAATAATAATAAAAAACACTAACATTTTTATATTATGTTATATTATATATAATATATAATTATACATTATATTTATATTGTATATATTATAATTATAATTGTATATATCATTTGTATTATAATTATATATAATATTATATATAATTATAATATATTATATGTTGTGTTATATAAATATTTTATATTTATATTATAACAATATTCCATATAATTATAATAATAATGATAATTCTGTACATTGCTAAATGCTTCTGTTATGGGATAAATTACTAATAGCTAATTTATTTGGATAGAAAACTCCCAAAAGCAGCTCAGCATTTCATTGCTGGGTGACTCAGTCCCAAATTCTACCCTTTAAATAGTATTAAATAGTAATAATAATAGATAATAATTTTAAAAAAGGCCCCTTAAATAGAATTTACTGGAGGTTCAGCTATCCATGGAACAGGAATGGCAGTTTGAGCTGGATCCCTGAGGCCTCTGGCATGAGATGCTCCTGGCTGGGCAGCCCCACACGTGGCACCAGCTCACCTGATGAGCCCTGGCACCTCTGTGCCCCACGGGACGGGCCCTGAGATTGGCAGCACGAAGCGCCCGTTGGAGTTTTGCACTTTGTCCTTCAGGAAGATGGAGACCTGCAAAAGGACATCACAAACATCACACCCTTGGGGAAATCCTCTATGGACCTTCCCATCCAAATTCCCTGAAATCTGAGCTAGAGCAGCTCTGCCTACGCTGGGGAAGGTTTCCCAGAGCTCTTGATGTGTGCAGGGATGTATTTACAAAGCCAGAGATGCGAATTTGTGGTCCAGAGGATGGGCACACTGACCTAACATAAAAAATATTATATTAAAAACTACTGTTCATGCATGTGAGTGTCACCAATTTGTTTAGAGAGCATCAAGACTTCACGCTCAGGTTTCCTATCAAGTTTCTTCTAAAAGGAAAAATGGATTTATCAATCAGCAAATCACACTAGTAAAAATTCCTTTTTTCCTAGTATTGTAGAATAATTCAGCATTATTGCAGTATATGTGCTCCATTTGTGAAATCTGAGTGCAATCACAAGCACGTCAAGATGATTGAAAAGCACAAGCAACAGACCCAAACCTGCAGTGTTTATAAGCAGATCCCTTTATATTCCAGCCCCAAACTCTCTGTCATTCTCCCTGCCTAGTTGGATTGGGCTCTTACCCTGATGTGCATGTCCTGGAAGAAAATGAGAAGTGTTTGCCTGATGAGCTGGAATTCACCATCAGAGAGACAGTTGTAGGTCTGGAAAAAGAAAATAATCATGCAAGGGTCTACAGGTGTGCCATGTCCCACCCAGGGAAAGAGGAACAAGCAAATACCGTGTGAATATTCTGATCTGGGGGGAGCAGAGATGCTCTAAGGGGGCTGCTGGTTATTATCAATAATTATTGTTTGCCACTAAAAGTCTGATAAACAATTTCTGTTGAAATCAGGCTGAATAAGCAATACATTGATTTAAACTGTGCCAGCAGAAAAATACCACTTGACTCACAGCCCTCTCCAATGTAGTAATTAATCTCTTAAGAGGTAAAAACCCCACAAAATCCAACCACAGTGTGTCCCACCCTTTTTGTGAGGATTCTTACTTCAATCAGCCGCCGGAAGGTCTCATCCACCTGGTTCAGAATGCCAGGGGAGTCGGAGATGAAATCCTTGATGGCATCCAGGTGGTTGAAGGTGACCAGCAGAATGTCCCTGGGCCGAGGGCACAGCAGCACTTGGTACTTGAAGGCCATAGTCATGAGGTCGTAGAGCTGCAAAGGAACACAGGAACGTTGGTCCTGCCACAGAGGAAACCTCCTGGGCATGGAGGAGGACTCAGCCAGCCTGTGGCACAAGGAACTCTCTTTAGCTGCCTTTCCTAAAAAGCAAGACCTCTGCAGTGCCATCCCCAGCCTCCAGCTGGGTCTCCAATGCCACCAGTGCTCCGTGAGGTCACACCTCGAGTGTGGGTCCAGTTCTCAGCCCCTCACTGCAAGAGGGACACGAGGGGATGGAGCGTGTCCAGAGAAGGGAACAGAGCTGGGGAAGGGGCTGGAGCATCTGAAGCAGCTGAGGAGGCTCAGCATGAAGAAAAGGAGGCTCAGGGGGGACCTTCTGGGTCTGCACAACTCCCTGACAGGAAGGGACAGCCAGGGTGGGTTGGGATCTGCTGCCATGAAACAGGGGGAGAGGGAACGGCCTTTGGATGTGTCAGGGTGGACATCAGCAGGAATTTCTGCATGGAAATGTTGATTAAACATTGGAAGGGGCTGCCCAGGGAGGTGGTGGAGTCCCCCTCCCTGGAGGTGTCCAAGGAATTGCTGGAGGTGGCACTGAGTGCTCAGGGCTGGGTGACAAAGTGGGGATTGGGCACAGCCTGGACTCGATGCTCTTGGAGAGCTTTTCCAACCTCAGTGATTCTGTGAGTTTCAGCAGCCCTGACACCTGGGTGGAGGGCTCTCTGATAATCCCATTCCTACCATTTTTTCCTAAATTGCCTGTGGATACACTGTTTGCAGGGAATAACTCCAACACCTGCAGCTGCAAGACAGTGGTTGTCAGTACAGAAATACAGATATCTATCCACATCCATACACGTGTATCTTTTTAATACATATGCAAACACCTGATAATCTTAAGGAATGCTCAGTGGACCTGTTCAAATCAAATATTTATCTCAAGCAGAAATCAAACATTTAGATCAAGCAGAAATCATTCTGAAGCAGCTGATACCAGCACAGATTTCCTTGGCTGAGAACCATTTTCACATGGAAAGCTTCTCCAAAATACTTCAAAATGCTCAAGCCACGGGTTAAATATTGCAACAAAAACTGGTGCAGGGCGGCTGGGGGGTGCAGCAGGGGCAGGCTGGGCAGCAGGACTGTTACCTTGTCCATGCTGGCCTGGTTGAGTCTCATGATGGAGGCGTGAGCCAGCCGGTCGTACACGGTGCGCAGGGCTTTCTTGGAATACAGATCCTGCGGTTTGAACAGCTCCTCCAGGAATTTTTTGTTGAACATGGTGCTGATGATGTCGTTCATAACTGCAAAGACAAAGTTAGGCTCTGTGGTTTGCTCCAAGGGGAATAAGGCTGGCTTTGTTGCCCTGGTTTCACAGCTACGGTTGGCACTTTTAATTTTTAAATAATGTTGCTTGTAGGCTGCTCTGATATGTTATTATCTTAAAAAGCTGCAGCTCTGCTTCCTAAGGAGAGGGTTTTGCACTGTGGTAGATCTTTGCTGGGCCTGTTCCTGAACACCCTCTGACACCAGCAATCTATTTTTTAACTTCTCAACAGAAGCTCCTGCAGGGCTCTCTGTAATCTTTATTCCAATCAGATTAACACTGGCAGGTATTTAATAAAGCACCTATATCACTGGGATCTATATCAACCCATTCAGGGCTTTCACAGCTGAAACATCTGCAGGCCCTAGAGTTTCAAATGCAGAACTCCAAACTTCCTTACTGGAGCTGTTTTATTACTGAGGAGTTCTTACAGCTCAGGAGTGCTGAGTGTGGGGGCTGTGCTCTGGTTATTGAGCTTTTAATGCAAACAAGATGGAAAACATTGTGCAGTGCTTCAAGCAGATGCAGCACCTGAGCTTTTGTGCTGGATCTGCCACTTTTATTATCTCCCTGATACACTCTAAAGAGTTATCATCAATAAACATTTATTCCTCTATCAAAAGAAGCTAAATGAATACATCAGGTCACAGATTACTGTACAAGTGTGGATTTTCCTAAGCAGATGACTGTTACAAAGCTCATAATGCCAGAAAATTCTTGAGGATTAGAAAAATCTCTGAATAAATAATTAAAAGGAAAAAAAAAAAAAAAAGGGAAAATAAGAAGTGAAGAAAAAGAAAGTGGTAATGATCATTGGTTTGAATTATTGCCCTAATGATTCCCTGGGGGGTCAGACACCTGGCTTTTCATACCTGTCCTACCCCAACAGACAAAATAAAGATAATTTCTCTGTCACTTCATCTCTTCCTAGAGGATGAACTCCCTGGGGACTGCGGGGAGCCGGGGCAGGAGAGCTGTGCTCCCAAGGGCAGAGCCTCCTGAAGGATTCTCTCTCCTCTCTCTCTAAACCTGCTGGTTACAGGTTCCTGCTCACACACAGCTCAGCAGCCCCCGTGCTGAACCTAACAGGGTTCCCTAGTCCTGGTTTAAACACCCCAAAACCACAGACACATCTCAGCTCCTCACCAGTCTGGACTAAGAATACACCTAATTACAAATGGGAAAAAAGTCCCTCCTTCCTCCCTCCCTTTCAAATAAACTGGCCATAAAACCATCCCTACTTGCAATCTCAGGCAGAAATCCCCTATTTTTCATGGAGAAAATAAAACATATTAGCACTATTAGATATTAATACCTAGCTAATTTTTCAAGGAATCAATTATGACAAAAATAAGAACTTCTGCTTTATACTGCTATTAAGGAAAATGTTTTTAAGCTGCTGGTGTGTGCTGGTCACAGAAAGACTTCTTCTGTCTTTGGAGAGCCACAAACAACCCAAACCAACAGGAGATAAACACCTCCCAGTTTTTAAACACTGATTTTTCAACAGAATTGAAGGTCTGTGTGAACCACAGCCATAAATTATCTTCTGAAATTAAAACCTCTTGTGTGGGCTATAAAAAGAACTGAGAAAGACATAAAAAAAAAAAATCATGGTAAAGGGCAAATTGATAATAAATCTCTCACGTTTGATAATGGCACAGCAAAAGTCTCAGGGGGGGCCTGGAGTGGCTGTGGCAGGTGACACAGGAGCACTGGCCCAGGGACATGGCACAAGCAACACAGGAAAAGCAACTGAGCAGAGAGGGGAGATCTAAACTGGGATGAGACGAGGGAAACCAGTACAGCCAGTGCGATGGGCAGGACTGGAGCTGGGGCTGATGGTGGCTTTGGCCTCCCCACGCCAAGTCTCTGGTGCCAGCAGTGCCACTGGCATGGCTGGGATCATGGCATGAGGCTGGAGCCAGGCCTGGGTGAGGCTGGTGCTTCCTGGAGGATGTTTGGGGCAGCAGAAGGAACTTTCTGAGCTCTGGACAGTCACCCTGCGTGCCACAGGCTCCTCGGGGAACCTCCTCACAGCTCCACCAGTGACAGCCCCAGCAGGTGACAGCAGAACCCTCCAGAGATGCCCTGGAGCACTGAGCACAGGCAAAGGGCTCTCTCTGGCAGGAGAATGAGGGGTCAGCCTGGCACCTGCCCCTGAGCCAGCCCTGCCTCCTGCCCCACAGCTCTGGGCAGCTCCTCCTTCTTTGGGATGGCATGGAATCTGTCCCTGGACTTCTGAGTTAAAGGGTGTGCTTGGAAACAGGGTGTAATGGTAAGGAAAAAGCTGGGGCAAACTCCAGTACATCAGCATTTACCTCCAATAAATATTAAAGCCTATTAAAATGATGCTTATTTTGCACAACACTAATCATAACCTTGACCCCTGGTGAAAAGGGGCTGCTCAGAAGTGCTGTAAGTTCTGCTTATGCTCACCGAGCAAAAACCTGAGATTCATCTGCTCATTCCTTAGCACAGCCTTTGCTGCAGGCTCCTGTCCCAGGGCAGATTCCAGAGGGAAACACCCGAGGGCTCAATCCCACCCTCAGGACCCTTGGCTGAGCTGTGGGCACCTGCTCCTTTGGGGTGACTGTGCCAGGTGTGCCCACCAGCACAGGTGGGTAAAGCAGCTGGGACGGGAATGCCTTCGATCATCCCTGGAGTTCACCTGTCCAAACCCTGAGCAATGCATCAGATACAACCTTAGCAAAATGGAATATACCCAATAGTCCTGCATTTAAGCAGAAAAACAACCTGCACAATGCTCACACAATTACATGCTTGCATGAAAACAGTGGTAAAGAAACACAAATACCATTTTTGCAGGCAAGACCATGAAGATAAGAAGTTTGGATCCATTTATATTCTTGGTTAAATTAACAGCTGATTTTTGAGGCCATATGATTTTAAGATATGGCCTGTTTTTTCACTTATTTACAGTCAAAAAGGCATTTAAGGACCAGGTTAGCATTATTGTTCATTTGTGACACTGCCTGAGGGCTGCAGGAGCAGCCTCAGGTGTTCAGGCACGATGAGCCCCAGGTGTGCACGTGGGGTTGGACTGGTGCATGCAGCCAGCAGTTACTGTACCTCGTTTCCTGTCCACATCTGTCCATTCATCTACACGAAGCATATAAAACAAAACAGCAGTTCAAGATGTAAGAACAAGAGTTGCAAGGAGAAGAAAAGAAAATAGAAAGAAATAAACGGAAAATTAAAAAAAAAAAGCTAACTGATGGATTTTGTCTCGTCTCATCAGCATTCAGCACTGAAAGAGAACATCACCCTCCCCTTGGATAAAATCCTGCTGCTTCAGTGCACATCAGCTTTTACCCTTTGCATGAGCTTGGGTGGTTTTCAGCTGCATTTTATACTTAGAGATAACCAACGTTTGAGTGAACAGCTTTAAGCATCAACAAACACCTCAGTGTGGATGAACCACACTTCAGTGAAATGAACACACAATTTTTTGGAAGAAAAAAAACATCCACGTGTGGACAAACTAAAACAGGCCAATTCTCCTGCAGAGATACTCCACCAAGATTTAATTTAGCTAAAGTCCTAAACTTGTCCCTGAATGAACAGCAGTAAACTTCTGTACGATCATTCCCCCATCAGGACACACATGAATAATTACAAATTTCCCCCTTACAAACAATACAATAATTACACAGTGAACCCTTTGTTGTTTAGCACTTCATAAAGGACAGGCACAGAAGGGATAACAATACCAAGCTCATACCAAGTTGATTTTTTATTAAAACATCACAGAGCTTCCCGAGGCACATTCCCCATCCCCTGACAGAGAGGTGCAAGGACTTGTAAAGCAAAGCTTTAAATTGAAAGGGTAAATGCAGAGGTGCTTGGCTGTGAGCTGGAGTTTCATGCCCCAGTGAAGACACGAGGCTCTGTTTGCATAAGGATTTTGGTCAAATGAGATTGTATAAAAGCCAGGGTTTCAGGAGCTGTACTGGTATTTGAATTTCACACAATCACACGTGCTGTGTTTGCATGAGATTTATAAATTTAACCCTGGAAACTCCTTCCCATTGCAAAGCAACCTGCTCTGCCCCAAAAGTCCAGGAGCTGGGCTGGCACCACCAAACCCTGAGTTATTTTGAGCCCAAAAGTGCATTTCTGAAGCTTTAACCCCCGGACTGAGCACAGAAACAGCGACACGAACTCCACTTTCTCCTTCTGTGTTAGAACCTCCCAAACCAACCTCAGCAACACCCTCGGGCAGGTCCCAGCACAGGAACCTCACCGAGCTGGTCAACCCAAGGGGCTGGGCTGAGCACAAAACACCGAGGGCTGATTGCCGTGATAATTACTGCGGTAATTACTGAAATGGGGGCAGGGAAACTCCTGGCCGTGGGGTCGCAGCATCCTCTGGTGACAGCACAGCGTGTCCCTGAGTGTCCCGGCAAGGACAGAAGGAGAGGACACAGCCTTAAGCTGCGCCAAGGGAAGTTTAGCTTAGATGTTGGAAAACAATTCTTCACTGAAAGAGTGACTGGGAAATGGAATTGTCTGCGCAGGGAGGTGGTGGAGTCACCATCGCTGGGCTGGAGGTGGCACTCATGCTGTGGTTTAGCTGATGAGGAGGTGCCAGTCATGGGTTGGGTAGGTGATATTAAAGCTCTTTTCCAGCCTAGTTAGTTCTGTGAGTCTGTGGCACGGCTGGAACCGGCACCGCCGGGCGGAGCCGCGCTCGGGCAGGCGGGAGCGGGGGCAGAGCCGTGCCCGGGGACACCGGGAGCGGCTCCCGGCGTTCCGGTGGCACCGGGAGCGGAGGGCCCCGAGCGCCGCTGGCACCGGGACACCGGGACACCGGGAGCGGAGGGCCCCGAGCGCCGCTGGCACCGGGACACCGGGACACCGGGACACCGGGAGCGGAGGCCCCGAGCGCCGCTCACCTTTGCGCGCCTTCTCCCCGGGGATGCTCTGGGCGCGCAGCCGCTGGTCCAGGATGTAGAGCATCTCCCCGCCCAGGTTCAGGAACAGCAGCGGCAGCGTCCGCGCCGACATGGCCCCGCCACGGCCCCGCCACGGCCCGGCCCGGCCCCGCTCCGCCGCCGCCGGTGCCGTTGCCGGGCAGCCGCGGGGCCAATCGGGGAGCGCCGTCTTGGCCGGCGGGGCGCGCCTGCGCATCCTCCCGGTGTGAGCGTGCATCCTCCCGGTGTGAGCGTGCATCCTCCCGGTGTGAGTGTGCATCCTCCCGGTGTGAGTGTGCATCCTCCCGGTGTGAGCGTGTATTGTCCCGGTGTGAGCGTGCATCCTCCCGGTGTGAGTGTGCATCCTCCCGGTGTGAGTGTGTAATTGTCCCGGTGTGAGTGTGTATTGTCCCGGTGTGAGTGCATCCTCCCGGTGTGAGCGTGCATCATCCCGGTGTGAGTGTGTAATTGTCCCGGTGTGAGCGTGTATTGTCCCGGTGTGAGTGTGTATTGTCCCGGTGTGAGTGTGATCCTCCCGGTGTGAGTGTGATCCTCCCGGTGTGAGTGTGATCCTCCCGGTGTGAGTGTGCATCCTCCCGGTGTGAGTGTGCAGCGTCCCGGTGTGAGTGCATCCTCCCGGTGTGAGTGTGTGTCATTGTGATCCATGTGTGCATCCTCCCAGTGTGAGTGTGCATAGTCCCAGTGTGAGTGTGCATCCTCCCGGTGTGAGTGTGCCTCGTTCTGGTCTGAGTGTGCACATCATCCCGGTGTGTGTGCATCCTCCTGGTGTGTCCTCCCGGTGAGTGTGCATCGTCCTGGTCTGAGTGTGCACATCATCCCTGGTACATGTGCACATCGTCCTGGTCTGAGTGTGTGCGCTGTCCCTATCCATGTGTGCATGATCCCTGTGTGCCAGCATCCCAGTCCCTGTGTGGATCAGCCCAGTCCATGTGCACATTGCCCCAGTCCCTGTGTGGATCAGCCCAGCACACAAGCACGGCCCCAGTGCATGTGAAGAATGGTTTAGATTGAAAGGGACCTTAAAGCCCATCCAGTGCCACCCCCTGCCATGGGCAGAGACACCTGCCCCCAGGTCCTCTCACAGCCCAACCTGCCCAGCACTCAGCCTGAAATTAAACTTCAAAACCACTCAAACCACCAGCTGCCCCTTCCCAAGACCACACCACAGGAGCAAAGAGGCTTCAAGTCTTTGGGCAGGTGTTTATTGTCAGCCTGTCAGTGCCAGCCTGGCTGTGCCACTACACAGGTGTCCCCTCCTGTGCCTCCTTCTCCTGCACCTGCTTCTCCTGCTGTTCCCGTGCTGCCCTTGCTCTCGCCTGCCTTTGCTTCAGTTTCTCAGCTGCTTTCAGCTTCTGCTTCTCCTGGAACACCTGTGGAAGCAGAAGGGAGAGAGATAAAGCTGCCTGCAGAGCTGCTGCCCAGGCTGTTGGCTGCAGGCAGAGCCAAATCAAATCCTCCCTCTGCGCCTTCCTTGCTTCAGGGAACCATCTGAGATTGTTCTGTTAGAGCCACCCAGTCAATCACTGAATCATTCACGTTGGAAAAGACTTCTGAGAGCACAGAGTCCAACCTGTGACTGATCCTCACCTTGTCAACCAGGCCAGAGCACTGAGTGCCATTCTAGTCATTCCTTGGACACCTTTGGTTATCATTTAATTGGACTAAAATTTAGCATTTAAAAACCTAAGGCATGTCCAGCTTTTGTTCTGCTCAGTTATACCAAAATCTACTGCATGCAGCAGTTTTACTCATATATTCTGTACAAATCAGGAAGACAATGGGTGCACCCACGTTCCTTTTCCGAACTGCCATCAAGTTATTTCCCATATTGGTTCCCATACCAGGATTTGAGAAAAAAGCTGGTTTGAGTAACACATTTTTGAGCAAACCAGTGGCCCAACCTGAAGTACCTGAGTCCAGCATGTGTCAGTGCCCATGACAAATGTCCCCCATGGAGCTCTTGGCTGAGCTCAGGCAGTTCTCTACAGACAGGATCAAAGTCAAAGCCTGGCTTAAGAGGACTTGGCTATCAGTCTAACTGTTCTATTTCTAACTTTTATGTCGGATTAGGCCTTTTTCTAACATCTCACATTATAATATTAAAATGTTTAAAAAAAACTATTAAAAGCAGTGACTTAAATTCCCCATATTTTAACAATGCAGTAAAAGATGTATTTAACTCTTACAACCTAACACCATCCAATTGTAAAAATATTTATCTCAAAGTTTACATACAAATACATCCTATTTGAATTTCACACAATTGCACATGCTGCATCTGCACAAGAATTACAAATTTATTCCTGGAAACTCCATCCTATTGGAAAGCAACCTGCTCTGTCCCAAACAGTCCACGAGCTGGGCTGACATAACTTCTACCAAACTTTTAGAATTCTCTGTGGCAGGCACATTCTTCTCTCTGTGCTCCTGTATGAAAAAATCCTGACAGAGAGAAGAATGTGCCTGCCACATTTCTCTACAAATTCATTTCCCACACTTTTGCAGAGGGTTTTTTCTGTCCAGCTGCTCCATACCTTGATGCACAAAGCTTTCTTGACCAGCCAGCGCTTGGTGACACGGCGGGCATAGGGCTGGGGGGGGCTGTACTGGATGTCCAGGAGCCTGCAGGTGTTCTCAAAGGTGCTGTAGTTCACCCGGCGCAGGTACCCCAGCATCTTCCTCCGCCGGTCCAGATCCATCAGCATCAGCCTGCGGTTCTTTTTGTCCTGCAAACACCCAAGGTTCACTCACTGCATCAACCTTTGGTTCTTTTTGTCCTGCAAAGCACCCAAGGTTCACTCACTGCATCAACCTTTGGTTCTTTTTGTCCTGCAAACACCCAAGGTTCACTCACTGCATCAACCTTTGGTTCTTTTTGTCCTGCAAACACCCAAGGTTCACTCCACTGCAAGCAGATTGTCCTGCCTGTCCAGTAATTACTGAGAATAAAGCAGATTTTGGCTGAAAGGTGAAGGACAGAATCTTAGAACAACTTCTGTTGGCAGATGCTGAGAGTGCATCAGGTCAGCACAAGCTGATCCAAGGAGATGTAATTTACTTTGCACTGGAATTGCTTCTCCCTTCCATAGTTGCACCCTCACCTTCCCTGAAGACTGTTTTCAGCCCGTGTACAGGTTCAGGGTGTGCCAAAGCTGCAGAGAAGGTCTTCTGGCTAAAACCTGCTTCTCTTGAAGTGTGCTGCTTCAGAATAACAGAAGCATTTATCTTTGTTTTGCCAGAAATTAAATATGAAAATAATCTCTGACTTGGCTCTGTCTGGCTGTTCTTTAGAAGGGCACAAGCGTAGCCTGAGCCACAGCAGTCAGGGCAATCCCTCACAGGAGACATCTCCCTGTCCTACAAAAGTGATTTATGTAAAAAATTCAGCCAAGGAATTCAGAAAGGTCCAACTTCAACACTTGGTACAACTTCTGGTGCCTTGTAGTGAAAAGCTCAATTCTGTTCTCTTGTACCCTTCAAGTTTTCATGAGTAACAATTATGCACTACTTTCAAATGCAGTTATCAACATTTCCCACCTTTTATCCTGCATAAAGAATCTTTAATATCTGTTTTATGAACATAAATCCAGGCAAGATGTCTCAAATTTGGGCCTGAACCCAGGTAGCTGCAGGTAGTGGAGTGGGACATCCTCACAGTGCTGTCCACCAAACATTTCCATGAGCAGAACAAGCACAGACTTTGTGTTTGACTGCAGCTGCGTTCATTAATAAGTGAACACGAAGTGGTGAAGCCACATCTGCCGCGAGGAGAAATGGAGCTCAACTCTGCCCAAAGGAATCTGCTCAGCTGTTTTCTCCCCTGCAGTAACAAACCAGAACTCAGACCAGAGTGGGCGAGACTCCAGCTGTGCCTGAGCCAGCAGCTCCCCACACTGGCACCAGGGAGCAGCTGGAACTATTTCATAAACCTCCTTAGCAAAGCCATAATCCCCAGGATTAAAATCCTTTTGTTATAAAGGAGAAAACCACCTGAGCAGCTGTGGGCTCAGATCCCCGAGTTACCTTGGGGTGCCTCTGGAGGTGCTCCTCGAGCGTGCGTATCTTGGCAGTCAAAATAGCAACTGTAAAGGACAGAGAGAGAAGCTGTGTGAGAGCAGCAGCTTTCCCAGGTGATCCAGGATCATCTGCCTTGCTTCCAGCTGCCAGCTGAGCACTGCAGCCCCTGCAGGCACCTACAGCAGCACAGCAGGGACTGCTCATGGCGAAACAATGCCCACAGCAAACAGTGCCCACAGCAAAATGTCCACAGCAAACAGTGCCCACAGCAAAACAGTGCCCACAGCAAAACACTGCCCACAGCAAAACACTGCCCACAGCAAAACACTGCCCACAGCAAAACACTGCCCAGAAAAAAACACTGCCCACAGCAAAACACTGCCCACAGCAAAACACTGCCCACAGCAAAACACTGCCCACAGCAAAACACTGCCCACAAAAAAACACTGCCCACAGCAAACAGTGCCCACAGCAGCACAACAAATACTGTCCACAACAAGCACTGCCCACAGCAAGACACTGTCCACAGCAAAACACTGCCCAAAGCAGCCCCTGCCCACAGCACGGAGCACAACAAACAAGAACACACAACCTGCAGGGCTCTGACTGTTACGAGGCTGCTTAATTAGAGGGTAAGATTCTAACAACACATCATACAAATTTATATGTGAATTTATTCCTCTTGCACTCATTCAATTCCCAGTGATTTTACATTTATTTTGCCTCGTGGGATTTAAGCTCTGGGGGAGCAGACAGCAATAAAGGTTTTTATTTTTTTTTCTCAGGGCAGCAGCCAGGTCTTTGGGATTTCGGTGGCATCCTGAGGAACTGAAGGGCTTTGCTGATGACAAAGGAGATGTCAGTGTTGGTCAGTGCAACAGGGCCTTTGTCCCTGCCCTGTCCCCACTGTGCCTCAGCCACGGCTCTCTGATGCAGAGAAAAAATTGGGTTCTGTGGCTAAATTTGCTTCATTTTGGTAACAGCTGCAGCTCAGTGCTTCAGGTCACAGAAGCACTCCAAGCAGAATGATGCACACACTGCCTTTGGAGGGTGGATGTGGAGCAGGAATTTGGAAGCACCCCAGCAGCCTCTGCAACACTTCCAGACCTGG